TAGTGAACAAAAATCATTTTCACCATAAAACATTTCATCACACGTTCCCCTTTTTTCCCACCATCAAAAAAGATTTGTTTTTGTCATTCCGTTTGTAACACATTGAAATATTCGTCCAAGACCCATAAAAGTATATATATATTTTGGGTCCTTATTAAATTCTATGACAATCTAGCCATGTCCGTCCGTCCGTCTGTGTGTCCGTCTGTCTGTTGAAAACACGATAGAGTCCAAATGGAAGAAGATAGCGAGCATGATTGCTTCTAGTTGATGAAGTTTGTTTGGTATTGAAAATTGGCAAAATCGGTCCACGATTTCGCCTAGCCCCCATATAAAGACCCCTTCAGAAAATGACTTTATCGCTAATAATTGGCTAAAAGAAGCATCTATAGCGGTGAAGTTCGGCACAAACATGTTTTATGGGAACTTAAATCTCTCCCCCATATAAGGTCCCCTTCAGAAAATTACTTTAATGCTCATATCTGACCTTAAGGAGCATATATAGCAATAAAATTCGACATAAAAAAGTTTTATATTAACTAAGATCATTTTCTTAAATTTTATGAGGATGGGTCCATAATTGACCCTACCCCGCATATAAGGTCCCCTTCAGAAAATGACTTTAACTCTCATTACCAGCTTAAAACTGCGAGTACAGCGATGAAATTCATCATAAAGAAGTTTCGTATGAGCCAAAACCTCTCTACTAAATTTTATGAGGATTAGTCCTTCCTACCTTCCTATAAGTTCCCCTCAGAAAATTACTTTAACGCTCATTGCTCATTTATAAATGCGATTATAGCAGTGATATTCTACATAAACAAGTCTTGTGCTAGCCAAAAACTATTTATCAAATTTTATGGGGATCGGTCTATAATTGACCCTACCCTCCATATAAGGTCGCCTTCAGATAATGACTGTAGAGCTCATTACTGGCTGTAAACGCTCAAATATGAGTACAGCGATGAAATTTCACATAAACGAGTTTAGTATGAGCAAAAATGTCCTCTTCAGATATAATTGACCCTACAATTCACTACACATCGGTCGATAACTGATCCAACCCCCATTATCGGTTTCCTTCAGAAATTTACTTTAAACCTCATGACTGAATTAAATATACGAGTGCAGAGATGAAATTCGTTACAAATAATTATTGTATAAACCGATAAAGATGGGTCCATATTTGACTCTACCCTCCATATAACTACTCTTACAAAAAACAGTTTATGGTTACAAAAATTGGACCAAAAAAATTTATATTTTAATTCGGAAGAGCACGGTCCATACTTAAGCCCTTATTAAAGGCACTATTCCAAATATTCGCCTGATATTCATATTAACATTGTCATATGATGATAAAATTCAACATAGATCTAATAAATGAGGAAATTGCTTCGATAAAGTTTATTAATAAGGAGGATTTGATGGTGGGCATGGCCGAATATAACACTCTTACTTGTTTAGAAAGCGACCTCTTACAGAATAATATAATTTTCGTCAAATCTTTTTTGGATCAATTGATCTTTTCACCAAATGATGTTTTGCGTAATCGGTCTTTTCAAATTTTCACCAAAAAAAAATCTTTATCCAATCAACTATTTCATCAAAACAATTGTCCTTCAAATGACATTTCTTCATAACTTTTTATCAAGAAATTTTCCGATATTTTTCATCACTGATCATTTCATTATTTCACCAAACAAATCTTCATTAAATCACATAATGAACTTTTATTTAACCAAGAGATCATTATCTGTCTAAAAATTCGTTTACCAACTGATATTTTCCACCAAAAGACGTTTTTCGAGATATTGATCGTAAGAAACCTCTCCTCCAAAGCATCTTTCTTCATCGATCTTTCTCCATCTGAAGACTTTTCATTTTAAAGGAGAAATCATTTTCGATAAAAATGGTTTCTCTCCAACACATTTTTCACCAAAATACGCTTTTTCATCAATAGCTTATCATTCATCAAAGTGTTTATTTTATCGAACGATGTCTCTCACCAAGTGATCCTTTTCATCTAAAGATCATTTTCAATATATTCCCAAATAAAAAGGATCGTTGCGAAAAAGATCTTTCGGTGGATAATATTTCTTAAGGGAGATACTTGGATCATTAATTATTATTGTGATTTTAACTTTTGATCTTTTCATCCGATCTGTTTACCAAAAGAACAAATGATTATTTCTCATCAAAATACTTGCAAATCAAGTCTGTAAGATCATTTCCAAACAAGGTAATTTTCACAAAAAAAAACTTTCTTTCTCATTAAAAGATTTCTTTCAACCATAGATAATTTTCAATAAGTTCTTAAAAAAATAAAATTTTTTACCAAAATGATTTCCTTCTCTTTGAACTCTGTTAGCAGAAAAATAACTTAAACGTTTTCTAAATTAGTTGCAAACATGATGTGCTAAACAAAACACTAAACGGAAATTCAATTCCAATATGAACTTGATACTTCTTCGTGATGCTACCTCCACTGGCCAGATTCAAGAGTCATTCGCATCTTTTTTTATATATATACAAACAAATACACACATGGTACTTTTAAGAATTTATTCGAGCATGCCTGCCTCTTTATTGACTGCTATCTGGAGTAAAAGGAAAAAATAAAATATATGTGCAGCAAGATGATGTTGATGTTGATGATGACTGACTTCTGTTCTAGGGGACAAAAACGAAGAGAAGCAGTAGTGTAGTAGTAGTCTGGTTTTCTGCTTTTATACACTTTATTTAATATTTAAACGGCCATAAATTGATTATTTAAAAACCTTTAGTTCAGTGCTTAAAAATACTTTTTTTTTAAATAAAATAACAAAATAAAAAGTAAAACTCAAGTGCCTGCTAAGAACATTTTTATTTTGTGAGGAATAAAAAATACAGACAAGTTAGTCAGCCATTATCATCACTTTATTTTGTATTTAAGAAAAGCTTCATTCTTATTTTTTACGCATTTTGCTAAGAATCTCTAACATTTGACTTAATTATAGTTTAAAAGAAGGTCTCAATAAGAGAAAAAGTGAAACTTAGAACCCAAAAAACCTTTTGCAGATTTTGTTTTTTTTTATATTTGATAAATTCCCAGAAAAGTAGCGTAACTTTTGATGGTTTTTTGAGGAAGTTTTGATTTAAACGTCAAAATGTGTTTTTTATGGTTTTATTTAGGGAATTTCAACAATTAATAGTTTTTTATAACTACAAATTTATGCGTAATTATAAATTTGTGAAATAAAACTTTGAATTGAAAATATTTTGATGGTCTTTTAAGATAATCATCATAATTGGTTATGTGAAGATTTTTGCTGTGGTATGCAGACATGTTTTTCATATCATGAATATATTTTGAAAGATGACTAATGGTGATTTTAATAAAATAGCAAAGAAAATCGCATAAGAAGCACACTCTAGTACGAAAGTTAATCAATATTTGAACTACTAATGACGGATAAAGCCGTTAATAGTAAAATAAATGATTAATTGTGTTCCACCAGGAACTCTTCGTTTTGATGGTGTTTAGTTTTAGTCATTATTACGAACGAACGAACGAACGAACGAACGAACGAACTACTAACTAACTAACTAACTACTAACTAACTACTAACTAACTAACTACTACTAACTAACTAACTACTAACTAACTAACTAACTAACTAACTAACTAACTAACTAAACTAACTAACTAACTAACTAACTAACTAACTAACTAACTAACTAACTACTACTAACTAACTAACTAACTAACTAACTAACTAACTAACTAACTAACTAACTAACTACTACTAACTAACTAACTAACTAACTAACTAACTAACTAACTAACTAACTAACTACTAACTAACTAACTAACTAAGTAACTAACTAACTAACTAACTACTAACTAATTAATTAATTAACTAACTCACTAACTCACTCACTCACTCACTCACTAACTAACTAACTAACTAACTAACTAACTAACTAACTAACTGTTATGTTTAATACTACTTGTTTAAATTTGATTCTTAAACGTTTGTAGTAACTTATGATTTTTGTTTACTTTTTGAAGTTTATATTTTAAATTGAAATTATTTGTTTTGTTAATTTTTCATTGCTGTATATCTAAATTTAAATAAAGAAATACGTTATTTTTAAAAACACAATATTGGTGTCAGAAGTGGGATATAATGAGTATGTCCCAAGAGCAACTATCGAATGTTATGGAATTACTGGCAGGAGCAATTCGCTCTGCAGTTGCAGATGTGGCGCAGACTGCATCCATGGGTTTTTCGTCGCATTCATCTTCTGCAGAATTGAATTCAAAACCACCACAATTTTCAATAGTCGAATATAAACAAGAAGATGGAGGATCAGTTTCTGATTATTTTACTAGGTTCGACTGGGCGTTGCAGTTGTCGAGAGTTGCAGAAACTGAGTATGCAAATTACGCACGTGTGCATATGGGCACACAACTGAATACAGCTTTAAAAATATTAACAAGTCCGAGATCGCCAGGAGAATTAAATTATGCTGAAATCAAAGACATTCTGATTCGTCATTTCGATGGAAAGAAAAATAAATATGCAGAAATTTAGTCTTCGATTGAAAAATGGAGCAGTTTTCTGCGAGTACGGCCAATTTTTAGACAGGATGCTAATTGAGCAGCTTTTAATGGGGCTAGAATCTGCAACTGTTTGTGATGAACTGATTGCAAAACAACCACAGAGCTTTAGTGAAGCATACGAGATAGCTTATGCTAGAGAACTAACTCATCATGCAACAAAAGAAGTTAACTCCAGCAATGAGCCTTCGCAACCGGAACAAACATTCAAGTTAGGTTTTGCTCCAGTTAAAACCAAAAATAAAAATAGTAAATCTGATGCCGTATTTCCAAATAAAAGTAAATGTTACGGGTGTAATGGGAATCACACGAGAAACAAACTGCGAAATGCTTCGCTTGTGGTAAGATCGGTCATATTTCTAAGGTATGTAAAAGTAAAACTGGTCAAGTAACGATGAAACAGGACGAAGAAAACGATTCTGTTGAGCAATTGCGTTTTATAAATAAAATTAAATTTTCAAAACCGTATGAAAAGAAAATGATATTTGTGAGTATCGATGGTAGGAAATTGGAAATGGAGCTTGATACTGGTGCTCCTTGTAGTATAATTAGCAAGAAACGCTTACGTGCTATCAAACCCTATTACACTTTACATAAATCTGACAGAAAATTTGCTAGCTATACAGGTCACTCAATAAATTGTATTGGCAGAGTTGTAGTAAATGTGACTTTGGGAAAAACTTCTCGTGTCTTAAATTTATATGTTGTAGAAGATGATTTAGACACTTTGTGCGGCCGTGAATGGATAAGTCATTTTGCACATGATATTAATTTTTCAGATCTATTCGCATCTACACCGCCAAATAATAACTCTCCAAACGATAGCTTTAGTTTAAATACTATTACTTCCGATGTATCGATATTAAATTCTATTGAAAAAAATCAACTACAACAAATTGTAGATAAATTTGATGATGTATTTGGAAGTTCAGCTGGAAAGCTTAAATGTCCTCCTATAAAGATTCATATGAAGCCGAATGCTAAACCCATATTCGCTAGACCAAGAGAAGTTCCTTTAGCTTTAAGAGAAGCATATGCCAAGGAAATTGATGCTAAAATTGCTGCCGGTTATTATAAAAAAGTCGAATTCTCAGAATGGGCTTCCACGACCCATGTAGTAACTAAAAAAAATGGAGCTATACGTATTACTGGAAACTATAAACCTACGGTCAACCCTCAAATGATTATCGATGAGCATCCTATTCCAAAACCAGAAGATTTATTCAACAGAATTAAGGGTGCTACAATGTTTGCTCATCTAGATGTTACCGACGCATATACGCATTTGCCAATAGATGAAGAGTTTGGACATGTTCTTACCTTAAATACTATTACTCATGGCCTTATACAACCCACTCGTGCAGTCTATGGGGCTGCAAATATTCCAGCAATATGGCAGCGAAAAATGGAAGAAGTTTTAAAAGGATTACCTAATTGTCTTAATTTCTTCGATGATATACTATTATTTGCAAAAGATTTTAATGAATTACAACAAATTTTAGATTTGACTTTGGCCCGAATTAGACAGTGTGGTCTTAAATTAAACAAATCGAAGTGTGTTTTTGCAGCAACGTCAGTGGAATTTTTATGGCATTTAATTGATGCCAATGGTATACATAAGTCAAATAAGCATATTGAATCTGTATTGAACGCACCGAAACCAAACTCATTAGAAGACTTGCAGCTATTTCTAGGTAAAGCCTCATACTATAGTGCCTTTATTCCGGATTTAGCAACCCGTGAGAGGCCATTACGAGATATTCTAAAATCAAAGGTATTTTCATGGAATTTAATCGCGGATGCTGCTTACAACGATATTAAGAAAATTTTAGTATCTCCACAAGTTTTAATATCATATGATCCAAAACTACCATTATTGTTGGCAACGGATGCTAGTATTGTCTCACCGTTTACCTAATGGCGAAGAACGACCTATAGCATACGCAAGTAGAACAATGAGTGTGACAGAACAATGTTACTCTCAAATAGATAAAGAGGCTTTGGCCATAGTATGGGCCGTTCAAAAATTCTTTAAATATTTATATGCACGGCATTTTACATTAATAACCGATCACAAGCCACTTACTCAGATTTTGCACCCTAGTAAATCGCTTCCAGTTCTTTGTATTTCTCGTATGGCAAACTATGCCGATTTTTTAAGTAACTTTGACTTCGAGATAATATATAAACCATCCAAAGAGAATATTAATGCAGATTACATGTCACGTATTGTTCCAGATAATTCAGTAAAGTCACAATGCAACGAAAATTACTGTGGGAGTCAGATATCATAAATACACTGCACCTTATCACCCCTCTACTAACGGCCAAGCTGAACGTAGCGTTCAAACAGTAAAAAACGCATTAAAAGCTATGTGTACATAAAAACAAACCTGAAACCTGAGTTATGGAAACAGAAGATCTGAGGAAAACAGGTCTTATAGGAGTATTATATATCCAGAAAATATGAATGATAATGTTTTAGTCCCCAGACATCCCGCTCCTAATCTTCAGCATCCTGAAATAAATTCAAGTTCTCCTAATAATGCAAGAGATCCAGTAAATGAAGATAATGTTGTCCGCTCTCCTGTTTGGGAAAAGGACACAGATGATGAATTTGAAACACCACAAGCTGGTCAAAATCAAAACCACCCGCAAACACCATATTACAAAACAGCGTAAGCGCGACGTACGTTATTTTTAAAAACACAATACTAACTAACTAACTAACTAACTAACTAACTAACTAACTAACTAACTAACTAACTAACTAACTAACTAACTAACTAACTAACTAACTAACTAACTACTAACTAACTAACTAACTAACTAACTAACTAACTAACTAACTAACTAACTAACTAACTAACTAACTAACTAACTAACTAACTAACTACTAACTAACTAACTAACTAACTAACTAACTAACTAACTAACTAACTAACTAACTAACTAACTAACTAACTAACTAACTAACTAACTAACTAACTAACTAACTAACTAACTAACTAACTAACTAACTAACTAACTAACTAACTAACTAACTAACTAACTAACTAACTAACTAACTAACTAACTAACTAACTAACTAACTAACTAACTAACTAACTAACTAACTAACTAACTAACTAACTAACTAACTAACTAACTAACTAACTAACTAACTAACTAACTAACTAACTAACTACTAACTAACTAACTAACTAACTAACTAACTAACTAACTAACTAACTAACTAACTAACTAACTAACTAACTAACTAACTAACTACTAACTAACTAACTAACTAACTAACTAACTAACTAACTAACTAACTAACTAACTAACTAACTAACTAACTAACTAACTAACTAACTAACTAACTAACTAACTAACTACTAACTAACTAACTAACTAACTAACTAACTAACTAACTAACTAACTAACTAACTAACTACTAACTAACTAACTAACTAACTAACTAACTAACTAACTAACTACTAACTAACTACTAACTAACTACTAACTAACTAACTAACTAACTAACTAACTAACTAACTAACTAACTACTAACTAACTAACTAACTACTAACTAACTACTAACTAACTACTACTAACTAACTAACTAACTAACTAACTAACTAACTAACTAACTACTAACTAACTAACTAACCTAACTAACTAACTAACTAACTAACTACTAACTAACTAACTAACTAACTGACTAACTAACTAACTAACTAACTAACTAACTAACTAACTACTAACTAACTAACTAACTAACTAACTAACTAACTAACTAACTAACTAACTAACTAACTAACTAACTAACTAACTAACTAACTAACTAACTAACTAACTAACTAACTAACTAACTAACTAACTAACTAACTAACTAACTAACTAACTAACTAGTAACTAACTAACTAACTAACTAACTAACTAACTAACTAACTAACTAACTAACTAACTAACTACTAACTAACTAACTAACTAACTAACTCACTCACTCACTCACTCACTCACTAACTAACTAACTAACTAACTAATTAACTAACTCACTCACTAACTAACTAACTAAATTCTGTAGTACAATGTTCCGCCATCTCGTTATGGAGTATCCGGCATTTGTGGTCTAAGTACATGAGACCCACCCTGGAATGAATTTGATCTCATTTCAAAAGTGCTGAATTTCCACGGAAAAGCTTTGTCAAAAGATGGGTTGAGATTACAGTACCAATAGTGTATGGGATTTCGCCCAGACAATTGATTATTATCGAGCGACCTGACTGAAAAAGCCTTGAATCTAATTATTAAGTTGAGGGCAACTTCTTTAAACATTAGCTCAAAGGGTTATCAATTTATTTACTGGCATGAAGAGCTGATGTCTAATGGAGTCCATCAAGTTTACTTCGGTGTGTATCTTTTCACATAGCTTTCCACTCCTTAAAAAATTTGTAAATAATAATAATACCCGTTTTGCAAATTGGTCCATTGTTCGGGTATATAAGACTATTTCAAACAACATTGTTTTGCAAATCCACTAGTATAACACCCCCGAACCTGATGATTTGAATGGATCAAAACCACTTTTCTCATTTTCATTTATGGGTATATTGGTAAACAGAAAACTGCTTATCAATTCCTCTCCGGTGGAGAGATTCTAATAGACTGTCAAGGAATTAATTCTGCTTACATTAATTAATCTCTTTTAATTATTTTTTTAATTAAAACATTTTTGACCAACATATTTTTACACAACCAATGATTTATGTAAAAAAAAAATTATCTATAAATATTTAAACATGAAAGTGAACAAAAAAAAAATTATTTGAAATTCTCATTAATCTGCATTGAAAACATTAAATCACAATAATACATAATGATGATGATAACTAATTTATTACAGTAATTTATCAGAATGTTAAAGCTTAAGCTTCAACAAAAAAACCCAGTAAAAGCGAAAACAATTCAGAGGGCAAATGGAGGGACAAAAATGCTAATTAATGTATATCATCACTACAACAAAACATTTTGAACACTTTGTACAATGATAATAGCCATACACATACATAAATATACACTTACTGTTGATGAGCATGACGATAATGACGACAATGACTATAGCAATGATGACAATGACTGAATGCTCTACAAAATAATTTCAGCTAAAGTTTAAGGTGAGGTATGTTATGCGAAAAGGTAGCCTCATGTTTCAATACTAATTGACACCTTTTAAATGTCATTAGCAAATAAATATAATTTAATGTCTTTCAAAGATTACTGATTCTAACCCAAACTGAAAAAAAATCTTATAAAGATTTGATTTGTTTTTGTTTATGCGAGACATTTCAATGAGTTTTATTTTTAATGTCTCCTCCCTCAAATGAAGCTTATCATGATGTTGCTTTTTGGTCATCTTTTAAAAAAAAGCAAACAAAAAAAATCCTTCAGACGAAAATAAAAAAAAAACACATGCCTTAAGTATCTGTATACAATTATAATTAAGGTGGGGATTACATGGCGAAAAACAGATGAATCACGCAATAGCTTAATCTCAACATCATTCATTCATCCCGACTGTCTGACCAGCCGACCAAACCATTCCATTTATGCTTACATCCAACCAAGCCAAGCAACCATTCCAATCCATATTCATATGGTGCTTGCGATATTGTTGTGATGACAAGCATGTGAAATGACCACACATAAAGATGTATGAGCCTCAAACTTGAAACATTTGTTGTACTTTCGTCTTGTCTGAAAGCTTTGTATATGATGGGTTTACTACCGTATTGTAGGAGAATATCATGTTGGTGGCATTAGTGGCGGTGGTGGTTGTAGTGGTGATTACAATGTTAGTGTTGTTGGTATTAAATAATTTCATATAATTAATCATATGTTATCTGTTTGTTTATTCCTTTCTGCTGTTACCACAACTCCATTTCAAGTGATAAGAATTAACAACATGTTCATTTGATAATGCCACAATACATACACATATATATTTATTTGATACATTTATTTATAGGCTGCGAATTAAAACAAAAGGGCCTATAAAAAGAAAAATTAACGTAAATGAATAAATTTAGATAAATGGATGCTAAGTTTTTCACAAAAAAACTAAATATTAATGTAATTCAAGGATCATAGAACTAACGAGTCATTAGAAGCTTTTTGCAAGATTAATTAAAATACACACCTGATGTTCTTATAGGAAATAAAAAAGGACATATATATTCTTAAAGAGAATATATGTATATGTATGGGACTATAGACTAGACTATAGACTAGACTATAGACTAGACTATAGACTAGACTATAGACTAGACTATAGACTAGACTATAGACTAGACTATAGACTAGACTATAGACTAGACTATAGACTAGACTATAGACTAGACTATAGACTAGACTATAGACTAGACTATAGACTAGACTATAGACTAGACTATAGACTAACTAGACTATAGACTAGACTATAGACTAGACTATAGACTAGACTATAGACTAGACTATAGACTAGACTATAGACTAGACTATAGACTAGACTATAGACTAGACTATAGACTAGACTATAGACTAGACTATAGACTAGACTATAGACTAGACTATAGACTAGACTATAGACTAGACTATAGACTAGACTATAGACTAGACTATAGACTAGACTATAGACTACACTATAGACTACACTATAGACTAGACTATAGACTAGACTATAGACTAGACTATAGACTAGACTATAGACTAGACTATAGACTAGACTATAGACTAGACTATAGACTAGACTATAGACTAGACTATAGACTAGACTATAGACTAGACTATAGACTAGACTATAGACTAGACTATAGACTAGACTATAGACTAGACTATAGACTAGACTATAGACTAGACTATAGACTAGACTATAGACTAGACTATAGACTAGACTAT